GATAGTATTGCTGCTAAGCCATAGTGAGATGCATCGCACGCGAGTATTAATTCTTCGCTGGGGTCGTAATGTGCTAGAACTTTCGGCGATATCATTTCGTTTTTTACCCACAAAAAAGCTTTTTCACATTCCTCGGTCCATTCGAATTTTTCTTGTCGCGCACAATCGTAAAGTGGTTTTAGCATAACGGATCTATTTTTTAAAAATCTCTCGTAAAAGTTAATTAGTCCGATGAACGATTCCAGCTGTTTTGTGTTCTCGGGGCGCGGTGCTCCGTACATTGCTTCAATTTTTGATTTCGCCTTATGTAATCCGTCTTTATCTATTACGTAGCCCAAGAGCTCTATTCTATCCTTCATGAAGTCGCATTTTTTTCCGTTTAATCGAAGTCCGCGCTCTGTTAGTCGTTGACAAATAGTTCTCAAGTTTTCGAAGTGCTCTTCGTCGGTTTTGCCGGTTACATAAATATTGTCCATATAATTGATTACATTTGGAATGCCCTGCAAACATTCGGACATAATGTGTGTAAACTCGCTTGGAGCAATGCTTATCCCTTCCATCATGCGTGTAAATTGAAATAATCCGGTGTGTGTGGTTATTGTTAGGTATTTTCGCGATTCTTTTTCTACTGCACACTGCATATACGCGTGTGGCAGATCTAGCTGCGAAAATTTAATACCGTTTTTCATGACTGCAAAAATATCATCAATTTTAGGCAACGGACGTTTTGTTATTTGCAAATGCGGGTTTAGTGTAACTCTAAAATCTCCGCAGATTCTAATTTTACCGTCTGATTTTTGAGCAGGTACGATGGGTGTTGCCCATTCGCTTGACTCTACTCTCTCTAAATTACCTAATTTAATTAGTCGATCTATTTCTTGTTCGACTTTTGGTCGTAACGCGAACGGCATATGCCTTGCTCCAAGCGCTACCGGTTTTACATGTGGTTTTAGATGTATTTTAATTTCACGCTTGTTATATACGCCTGGCGTCTCGCTAAATAAAATTTTGAATTCTCCTAAAATTTTCTGGCGTACGCCATCGGCTCGTATGTTATGAATACTTTGTTTACTTTTCGCGACGATATCCGAATTCAAAAGTTTATCTAATGGCCAAAGCCCGAATGCTGCTAGCCACTGTCTGCCGATTAGCGGTACTTTATCGCCTTTCAAAATCAAGCAGTTCAGTGTTTTTGTTTTGTTATTAAAAGTAACCTTCAAGTCTTTTAACTGGCCTCGCGGTTCCATCGTTTTATTTTCATACGATACTAATTTTATCTGCGAGTCGCTAACTTTCGTATTTTCGAATGTTTTGTTTGCGAATTTTTCCGACATCACGCTATAGAACGTACCCGAGTCGAATTCCATCTCGACTGTTTTACCGTTGATTTCAACGTCGAAAAACATCGGTTCGGCGCAGATCGCATTACAATCGCTTACTCTTTCACCTTCGTTGATGTTGTGGAACTCGATGTGGTTGTTGTTGCTCGCTGTGTCGTACTCGCTGTTCGTATCGCTGAGATCGTCGTCGGCTCCGGTGCTGCTGTCGCTGGCTTCTCCAAGGAATTTATTCGACAGGTTCTTCTTCTTAATACATGCTCGCTCCAGGTGGCCTTTCTTATGGCAGAAGTCACAACGTCGGTCTCGATATTTACACGAACTCGTCTCGTGGCCCGTTTTGCCACAGCAATAGCATTTAGTGACTGCTGGTTGCTGTTCCGGCCTTTGTTGTTGTTTGTACTTGAGAGGTTTATCTGTGCGGCCTTGTCCTTTACCTCTCCGATCGATGGCGAAATTGTCCTGTTTTTGAAT